AAAAGGACAAATATTTTAAAGTTTTAAAATCAAAGTCAGGTATTACATACTTTAAACTTTAGATATCTGAGATATCTGCTTCACAAAAGGTGCACTGACTGCACTCATTACAATCCAAATTAAAACTGTACTCATTACACTCATTACAGGGACAAATATTGTTAATAGTTTTAGTGAAAAAGAGAGAATTCTTGTTCTAATTCGAACCACTTTATCTTCAAGAAAATCAAAAATGAGTCTCTCTCTCTTTATTATTATTATTTTTTTACCTTAGAAGGGAAAATCTGTGTATTTACTAATGTTCTTAAAATCTTATTTTTACAACTCTCCTCTGTAAAATTAATACCAGAGATGGTTAGATTACCTAATCTTGGTATCACAGGTAAATAACACAATGCACCTTTAATCAAATGAACCAAACCAGCAGGAACAGCTTTCAACAAAGACACATATAATTCCTGAGTACAAATAATATTGTATTTTTCACAAAACTTATCATAGCAATTTCCATCCCCATTCATAATGTGTCAAATGGACGAGACACCATACTGTCACATACACCTTACTGAATTATAGTAAAATTATAGTCTTGAATACTCAAGAGACAGGGTTGAACTAGCCAATGTAGCAAATTGTATCCTAATGAAAATGTAACAATTCAGAAAGGTTTTTGTGTGTTAGATTTAGAGAATAAAAATATGGTAACACATACTTAGACATTCTAGTAACTATAAGTAACTTTGCAACTACATGCCAAATGCCAGTCATTAGAGTTTTAATAGACTGTCTTAATATCTGCTAAGACTGCTTTATTTTGATTATCCCCAAGCACAATTTCTACTGACTCTAAGTAACTATGGAAGTAAGAGATACATACACGCATAAGGTTGTATATGGTTGTGGGGTTACAAATGTACACATGAGATACCTTTTTTTTTTTTTTTTTTTACAGGAAGCTACGGGGCAAAACTTCCAGAATGCATCTTGTGTCTCAATAATGCAGATTATGTAGGGGGCTGACAGAATGAAGTGGTAGCAAGGCTGAAGATGAAACGAGGTCCATAAGAGGAGGATTAAAAAAGTCTATTAAATCTCCTGAGTCCAGTGTTAGTTCACCCTCAGCGGTGGTGCAGTGGACAGGGCTTTCCTCAGCTTCCCCGCTCTCCACTGTATTTTCCACCATAGTGTTCATTGCCGGCTCACACACCTGGTCAGACGATTGAGGCTCTTGCTCTCGGGCAATCCTCAGCTCTATCGCTCCTCTCAGCGATGGCTCTTCGATCACGGTAGGCACTGGCTCTCCGTGCAGTAGGGTGACACTTGGCTGGGCTGTGGGCCCGGCTGTGGTGTGGATCGGGGATAGACACTCTCCAGACACCTGATCACAGACTCCCTCCAGCTAAGTCCTCTGGGAGGTCTACTGGATGTTCATAGTTTACCCCGATCCAATAGAAAGATTTTAATGTCTCGTCGTCCAATAATGAGCGGATGGCAGGATGACAAAAATGCAGCATGTAGTCCTTAAAGCGCCGGCCACTCCGGGCCAAAGCAGTTAATTGTGCTGTGAAATCCATCAGAAACGGAGAACAAAAACACTGACAAAAAATAAAAAATAAATGGAGGTAAATTTAAATAAGAAGGTTTTTCTTATTGTAAGGTCGGGTCTTCTGTCACGTAACGGTGTCGAAATGAACATGCAGGAAGATGATGATGAAGTCAAACAGTCTTTAATTAATCCACATAAAGGTAATTTCCACCTACAGGCTGGCTGGTGACACACACATACCATAGACGAGACCTGACCAACACAGACTCAACAGACAGAACATAAATAAACAGACTAATGAAGATACTAAACAAGATACACCTGAACATAATGACATGATCAGACTCGAGGGAAAACTAGGTCAAGGAACACATGAGGGAAGAAAAAAAAAAAAAGTTAATGAAAACTGAGACAAACAGAACGTAACTGTGGCACTTGCATTATTACAGGAAAAAGTATTGTGACTACAGTACTGAGCCGTTGCAATGGAGCAGCTCTAATGTGCTATTAACTTAAAAATAAAGTACCATAGAGCAAAAAAAAAAAGAATAGTGAAAGAAACAAAACCTTGTAGAATACATTTTAATGGGCATAATTAAGTGTGAAAATAACTGAAGGAAATATCTATTTGCAAAATGAACTAAGCCAACTAACATTATACATATTATTTTGGTTTCTGTACCCAGTATTTTTGAAAATTATAAATGCAATGAAAATACGGGTGGGGGGGGAGTGGATGAAAATGAACAAATGTGAGAAAAGGTGAGAAAGAGGTTTTCCCCACATCGTCTCTCAGTGAGAACAATGTGGGCTATCCAAATAAAGTGTAATAGAAAAGATTAACAATGTAAATGCAGTCAATCCAATCCTCGTGAAATTTGTAAGTTTTGTTTGGGTTGGCTATTTCATATGAGCCTAACTTGTACAAAAATTTACAATTTGTAGGTAAAGTGTCACCATGAAGGTTGAACCCTAAACTTAATGGGCATAAGCAGATCTTACAAAAGCTTAAAAATTTGATTATACAAAGTTATAAAAATTTTACAGTTTGTTGAATTGTAAAATACTTATATTTATATTTATACTTATAAATTACCTTGGTAGTAGAAATAAAACTACAAGTAGAGAGTTAAGTAGATTTGCTAAGATTTAAACTCATGACAAACTCTAATGCGTGCTAGAGAGCTCTAAACCATTAGAGAGTTTTTGCAGATACTATTGAAACCCAGCTTTTCTGTGCTACTCAATCAAACTCAGTCACACCCTCTGTCAGACATACAGGGACATCAGAACAAACATTTGTACATTCAGGTTGGCTTTAGTGCTGTCTTTAGTCATCAAAATATTTTCGTCTCACCACAGCCAATTGTTCCAAGAAGGCATGTGCATTAGTAAACATAAAAAAAACATTCTTTAAGAGTGCAAATACCTTTCTTTTCTTTTCTTTTTTTTTACGGGAAGCTATGGGGCACAATTCCCAGAATGCATCTAATGTCTCAATAATGCAGATTATGCATTTTTTATTTACACTGATATTATTAGAGCATGCTGTAAAATAGTGCTTTTAATACCTTCTCAAAGTTTGAGATTATAAATAACTTCTTTGTCAGAAGGAGTGTGTATTAAGATGCAATTTTAAAAGTTGTGGCCTGTGTGCAAAAGATGTGCTCTCACAAATTTTCTGCATCAGTCAGGTGTATTACTATTTTTCAGCAGCTCACACCATGCACCACTTTACGATGCCTTTTAAGTGTCCTTTCATGCCATTCTGTTGACTGTGCACCACTGAACTATTTTTGATTACCCCATAAATGTTTTTTAAAAGAGATGGGCCCAATACTGTGCCCATCATACTCATACTCATAAAAATGCTCCGATATCAAACGTCGATAAAGTGTGTGAACAGTGCAGAACAAACAAAGTTAGAATGGGCTTATTAGAGAGTAAGAATGTCTATGAAGTACATGCATGTAATTAATATAATGTGAAACATTCAATGTTCATGCCTGTATAGCTGATGTGCGCAAGCTGATAAGCAAAGAGCAGAGTTGATTGAGTGCACGGCGGCGCAAATAATGTGTGAGCTTCTCGAGCGAATATCCCTTTCTCACAGACAGCACTGGAACATTTGTAGTTCGGTCGGATATGTCAAAAGCAAGTAAAACAATGCACAAGTTACTAAAGTTACTTGACAGTAAGGAGAGAGAGAGAGAGAGAGAGAATTTAATTTGAATAGCTCTTTATTACAAATGGACAATAAACAAGTTCACAAAATATAGATCACATTGTACAAAAATAATACATAATCACAGGAAATGTGCAAAAAACAATTCACCTTCAAAAACAGAGCACAATCATCCTTTGCTACACCATTTCAGTTCAAAAGAAAGAAGATCATGCACTGACTTGTAAAAATTAAAGGGGTCATATGATGTTGCTAAAAATAACATTATTTTGTGTATTTGGTGTAATGAAATGTGTTTATGCAGTTTAAAGTAAAGAAAACATTATTTTCCACATACTGTACATTATTGTTTCTCCTCTATGCCCCGCCTTTCTGAAACGCGTCGATTTTTACAAAGCTCATCGGTCTGAAAAGCGAGGCGTGCTCTGATTGGCCAGCTAGCCGATGCGTTGTGATTGGCTGAATACCTCAAGCGTGTGATGGAAATGTTACACCCCTTGCCATTTTGTGATGCCTTGTCCCGGCCGGAGCGACGAGACAAAAACATTAAAATCCATTATAAATGAGGCATTTGTTGCATCCAGTGGGGACATAATTACGGATTATAATGACTTATAATGACTTATACTGTCTTTTTATGCGTTGCATTGCATCGCACCGCGTAAACATAAAACCATTTCTGCATTTGTGATCGGAGAAATGACAAACAACAAGCCCTACTCTACACTGCCCAAAAAACTCGCTTTAAATATAAAAAATATAAAATATAAAAACTCTTTAAATATAAAAAACGTACTTAC